ACTTAATGTTTGAAAGATTTGCTCTATGCAGGTGATAAAATCTGATGACAGAATTATAATACGTTTGAAACCACTTGCTTCCTCAACTCGGCAAGAAATATTTTATTGACAAGAAGTAAACAGAAGAAAAAGTGTTTTTTATTTTGGAAAAAAATACCAGCAGAATTATGTATTATCTTTAACTTTAAATCTATCAGGCATAAATCTAAAATTAATGAACAAGTGAAAATCTTACAAATTGAAATGTTCCTAACACTTAAAACTACATTTACGTTTGCCCAAGTAATTAGAAGATCTATAGCCCAATCAGATAAGGCCTTTCTAAATCATATATGAATATAAAATTTACTTATAAAATTACACATCCTTCATAAACTTATAATGATTATATGTTAATACTGAAGATAGATAAGTGTTTGACTATATTACTACCACCCCTATAAGCCTTGGTGTTATTACTACACTTTTCATTTCAACATACCTCCAAACACCTGAGGAACTGAAAGAAGAAATCCCATGTGGACTTCCTCAACCTGTATGAACATGTATGAATACATGCTGAAGGAAGAGGGAGAGGACAGGGAGAGAAAGGGGAGCCAGGAAGGGAGCAGAACAGAGGCAGGGAGAAGGAAAATGGAGGGGCAGGACTGGGTACCAAAGGGATGGCAAATGAAACAAAGGGAGGGAGTGGAAGGAAGGCGCAGAGATAAGAGACAGGCAGAGGCTGAGGCAGGGACCTAGATGGAGTAACTGGCAAAAGCAGAGGGAGGCAGCAAGAAGGAAGGGAGGAGAGGAAGGAAGGCAGCAGGCTTGAGCAGCAGGGAGGGAACAGGAGGAAGACCATATGTGCAGCAGGAACAGGTGTGTAGTGAGAGGCAAACACAAAAGAGGGAGGCAGAGAGGGAGGCAGGCAAGGAGCAAGATAACTTATCTATCTCAAAGGCACTTGGAGGAGAGAAAGCAAACCACAACTATACAGTACCTATACAGTCAAAACTAAGGGAGAGATTAGTAACGAAAATAATTACATTTATTCAAATCCCCTCATAGTTTATGTTTAAAATAAAGTACAATTTTATTAAAATGCAAAGGACTTCCAACAACCAGGTAAATTGTCAATCTCACATCTCAGGTGAAGGGCAACACATGAAGAAATGTTTTATCATAAGAGTTATAACGCTGACAAACACAGCTACAGGTACCTGCATCCCTTATATACTATAAGCCTATAGCCTCATCCTCCTATATGCTTTTTTGTACATGTCGTAGATGCACTAAAGGGGCAAATCCTCATTAAACTCAGAAAACTCATCTATTTGGAGTTTCTAATTCACATGAATCCTGCAAAATAGCAACATAAGTTCATCTCTGAACATCAATTCTCTTCTAAAGCAACATTCAGAAGTCATATTATATCCTTCAGCAACCAGGTATTAGTGGAAGAACAAGACCTCCATGCCAAACACTGACCAAAAGCAACCACCACAAATTAAAACGGTCAGTCAATAAAATGTACAAATAGAGACTTCTAAGGTAGAGGTCAAGATAGTTCCCATGACACAGAAAATGATTACTCTTTTTGTAACTGTACTTCTGAAGCCCGCTACCACATGTGAACATCACCAGCTGTCTGATCACACAGCCATCCACTTGTTGTTAATGGCATCTTTTGGACAAGTGGTGGATATGATTCTGATACATGTAGCTAGTTTCTATTTGTCACTGTTTTTAATTGTCAATGCTAGGATAAATATTAAGTTTCACATACCATTTCAGTTTCCGTCTTCATAGAAATACTGAGACATGGCCAGAGCAAAACATGTTCTTCTTTCATGTGTTTCAGTAGCTCAAAGGTAACATTTTACTTTGCACTTTCAAACTTAGCAAACTAACAAACAGTACATCTTCATGTCATAATATCCTTCACAGTAATTAAATATCAGATGAGGGTATTTCAAAATGATAGCCTTCATATCAGTTTATTCCTGAAGAATACTGCACCTTTTTCATTACTTTCTCATCTGAAGTCACACTTTCAAACTATTATAGCAACTCTTGTTATTATGTAACAGCTTCCAAAAATTTAACAAAAACTTATAAATTAAGTCACACTCATTACTAGCCATGCATTTCAGTCTTTACATGGGATTGTAGAAGACATCTAGTGCAAGAGCATTACTGTTGAATAACTTACATTTTGATTAATTATCTGATTCTGCAATTCAATAAAGGGCATGCTTTGGAGAAAATTCAAGAGTTTTGTTTCCCAAGCGTTTCCCGGCCCAAAGGTCTATCACTACAGTACATGACACATTCTTTACAACATACGAGCCACTTTCTACACAGAGATTTCTTTTGTCTGAATCTTTGATCAGCCCTGTGAGTAGTAATGGTATGTAGAAAGTTACATTCGTTCAATAGGAAGAAAAAAAAAGAAAAAAAAAAAGCAGCCTTCTGATAATTAAGTACACCAGAATAAAACAAGCCTGATAGCTTGGTTCACAGTCAAGCAACTTGTGTTCATTATGCAAGTTTTCTCTGTACTTGTTTCCTCTAAAGAGAGCATATCTTTCCCAAGAAACATTCACACGGAAATAATAGCAACTCAAAAATTCCAAGACTTCCCATTTCCAACTGACAAGGAATACAAATCTCTAATGCTATGCCCATAAAATTAAGGGTAGATTTAAAATTTCATCCTGCCAAATGCCTTTAAGTGACACTTACTTTCTGAAAATTTTGGAAGAAAGATAATCTCATAGATGTGCGTGTACACAGAAGCTTTTTATCTTCCTCTCGTGAGGAAAAGGTGAGACTCACCAATACACTGGATATCAAACAAAGACCAATTACTGATTCCAGCCACTTGCTATGAATTGGATGCATGAAAAATAAAAATAAAACAATGTGTTTTTCTATGAGTATTCAAGAGCTATTGCTTCATCCCCATCATAATGTATAATTTTGGATCGTCATTTCTCTGCGATTTTTTAAAGAAAGCCCAAATAGCAACAAATTTAAATTTGGTAAATAACTCCTTATATCTAACATTCACAAAGAATAAGGCTACAATTACTATGAAGTACACATACAGCAGTTAAAAAAATCAAGCATGCAGACAATTCCACTGATTTCCATCAGTAGTGTTCACAAGCTGTTTACTGACTCCTTACATCACTCAAGATCTTAGGATTACTTTAAATACAATTTTGCATACAGAGGTGAAATAAAAGCAAATTCACTGACTGCCAGCTATATAAGATAAATAAATAAAGAATCTATAATATACTTAAAAAGCTATCAAACAGGCACTGAGTAACTAGAATCAGGAAAAAGGAAAGGAAAAAAGAAAGGAAAAGGGAAGAGGGGGATAAAGGGGGAGGAAAGTAAAAAGGAAAGGAGAAATGAAAGGGAAAAGAGGAAAGGAAAGGGAAAAGGAGAAAAGAAGGAGAAAAAACAGTAGGAAAGAACAGTGAGATAGACTGTATCATTGATGCTGTTTGCATACCTACACTGTAACCATGTGCAGTTGGAGCTGTTTGGTGAACACAAAGTGAGCTTGTAATAGTGCACCACCAGTAAAATAGCCAAAGCACACCGTGCTATGTTCCTACCACAAGCACTATGTACCAATGTAAATAGGAGTTTTTGAGACTCCTATTGCTTTTCATCTTTTTAGATAGGAAGAAGGAATGGGTTGCTTTGCAAATGCCTCTGCAACGCTCCTGACATCCAAAAGAACAGGGACTGGAGTGGAAGTCAGCCAACAGAGTGAGATCTGAATAAGAACAGCGATATTTTAAAATGCTGGTTATTTCTCCAATGTCTGCTTTGAAAATAAGTCACTAGTAGGAACTTTTTGCATAGCCACAGAAGTGTTCATCACTGTATGAAAACATTTCAACTGTACTCTCTGGTAGAGGCATACAGCTATTTTAACTAAAGTTCATGGGAATTCCAGGTGTTACACTTTATTATGTTATTATGAAAGTATGATAACAAAGACATAATTTAAATCTATATGATATTGAAATGCATGCATGCAAGAGGAAAATGGCATACGTATGAAGCATAGAATACACCTCTCTAGTATGTCTGATTTTGTGACCCTGCTCCTGCAATTATATACTTCATCTAGAACTGAAATTCTGTAATAAATTAAAAAGGATTATTACAGGAATGTAACATTTGCAGTGTGTGATTTCCTTGCTCTTTATATGACTAACTTTCCTCTCTCAGATTCACATAGGAAAGCACAATGAAGAGGTATGTACTTACCGTACTTTTCATTCTCTCACTGAGAAAACAAAATAATCTGCCTTTAGTGATAAAGTATTACAAGAATGAAGTCATTCTGCACAGCTAAGAAGACTAAGGGACAGTCCATGTTTAAGAAAACACAACAAACTTTAAAAAAAGATATGAAAGCATTACTCCAAATCCATTCTCAGAGCTGCAAACACGTACATTTTTAGTTCATTTCTTTTTTTTTTTACCCCCTTTCACCAAATTATTACTATTAATCACACAAGTCCTTAAACCACCACGAACAGAACAGCTTCTATAACTGAGTATTCCAAGTACTAGTTTATTTTAAATAAGGAATGCTCAAAAATCACTACTACTACTAAAACTGTAACATCGAAATTATGATACTGACCACATAAGCAATAAAATGCTGTGAGTTTTTTCCCTGCTTCGCCTTGCCTAAATCAATGGGGAAAAAAGTAGAATACACTGATATTAATTTTTAAATACAGTATTTGCATGATCATTTTCCATGGACATATTCCTGTCAGTTATTTAACATTATAATTGCAAAATTAAAAGTTCACATCATCTCCAAAATACAATATTTAAGAGCATGTATGAACATTATTTCTTTTTTAACTGTTGACTGCAATAGTCTTGAAGCTTTTTGTTCTCCACACATTCAGAGCAGTTCAGCTTCTCAGATGCAAAAAAGGGAAGGAAGAAACAGGATTGTTTCAGACTCTAACCTGAAATGCTACAACCTCTGGCCTGCCCTTCAGCCCTTCTACTGCAAAGGTCTCTAGGTGCAGTTTGGGTAGCTGCAGGGTGAAGTCATTCCTGGTTGCCGCAGTCCATGACAGCAAGGTCTGATCTCTGACCTAAAGGGAAAAAAACAGCATCAATGGTAATTCCCCTTCAGACACATTAACTGGGATGAACTGGGTCCCCTTGAGCCCACTGAGTGGACTTGCATTGATCGCTGGACCTGAAATCCATGAATAAATTTAGGACTAATTGATTTTTCGTTGCAAATAAATCTCTAATTCAGAGTGCAGGGAGAGAATGTTAAGAAGAAAAAGCATCTTCCCCTGGTCTGAAATGAGAAGGAAAGAAGAGATGCTAAGGGCTCACAAGCCCACCTGATATACACATTTTACAGATGTGTCCGCTGTAAAAACACCGTAAGAAAATAAATAGTAATTGTACTTCTGACTCAAAAGCCCACCAGCTATGAAATTAAAAAGTTTGTGTGATCATAACAAACAAGAAACTGTTACACGACTTCTGTCTGCTGTATGGAGATCATATCAGCCCTTCACAATTAGATTCGTTTAATACCAGTTCAGTTAGAGCCCTGACTAAAATGAATAAACCTCAAACAAAGCCAAAACATACTCTCAACCTGCAGCACCGCAATTAGCAGAAGGTGAAAAAAAAAATCTGCCCCTAGTTTTCATACTGTGGATTCACATATAGGAAATAATGTGCTAACTGCTATTAATCAACTTTTACACAGTTCATAACTACGACAGTTTGGAGTGAGAAATGCTACAGTTTGCACAAAATTCGAACAGTTTGATATTTATTTATTTAGTGTTGCAGACAATCTGAAATGAAAGGATAAAACAAAACCCCCGAACGCTATCAATGCGATTTCTACATACGGCCACAAACACAACCAGATGCAGTTGGTGTCACAGTGCCACCTGCTGACTAAAAGAGAAACTGGTTTTAATTTAGAATCCTGCCCGCTTTCAGAGTGATGAAAACACGTAGGTAAAAACTGTTAGCCATGTAAATTGATCAGTTCTTTTTTTTTTTTCCTTAAACACAACCAGTCTTGCACAAGGGACAAATATTTTTTCATTATTTGATTTCACATTTTTCCGTATTACCATAACACGTAATTAGCCTATTAGCATGCATTTGAAGGGTTACATATTTAGCACATAACTTCCACGAACACATCACTCATACTGCCACATGCACATTTTTCATTCTGTTTAATACAAAAATTATCATGTGCATCTCCAAAAGATGCCAGTAGTCAGATAAGATTCTAATACAGAGGGATAGATGCACGTACAAAGATATATAATGAATAGAGGAAATATGTCTATGTGGCACAGACTGACTCTCTGAGAAGCAATAGCTAGTACCACGAAAATAATCAACTCTTTAACAACAATACACTCTGACATACTAAATGCATCCAAAATACATTTCTATTTTTATATGCATAGTTTACTAGATACCATTTAAAACAAATTTCAGATTATCTACAGCCTCCCTCGTTCCAAAGAACTCACCATTCATGAATTAAAATATACTCCCATTCATTTTAAATCCCAGATTACTTTTTTGTAGTTGCTTACAAAATTAATTTTTTGTAAAATGTTGATGAGAGAACGTATTTCAAATAATAGCACAGGCTTTGAAATCAATTCTGACTGAAAGAAGCATGCACGTGTAAATCTACTGATACAAAGAAGAAAAGATTTTATTTTATCCATTGCTCTCTTCTGTGGGAATAGGGAGCCCTACATTTCCCAAGTTGACCTAAAGAATTCCTGTCAATACCTGTGGCTGCCAAACATATGCACTATGATGCAATTTTTATAACAGGAAAGGTCCTCTACGCATTTTTTGCACACATAGTGCACTAGGTTCAGCATATACAGTCCTGTGGAACAAACATGCTCTCCGGAATGTTCTGTCAGCATGTGTAATTCCAGTCAGATGTTAACCTTGCTGAATATGACAAAACATGTTACTTTAAATACGTACATATATACTTACATACACTCACACATAGGCACACTTGCTTTACATTTTTATAGCCTATATATCACAACATTTCAGTGTCTTTGCTGCCAGTATGCACACAGATAAAAGAAAACATTAATGTGGATTAAGGTACTAAGAATTTATCAACATCAAACCACCAGTGTTTTGCCTTCTACCCTTCTGAACCGTAGTCAATAGATCTAAATATTTTACTGCACCCTGGCCAATTCATTGTTTGATGTTTAAAAACTCACCCAGAATCAAAGAAAATTTATTAAATTTGAGCCCCCAAATGAGATACTATTAGCTTTGAAAGTCAAGTTTAACTGCGATATTGATGATTCTCTTTTTTCTGTGACAATATTCACAAGGGAAATCCCTATGTCAAAGTACAAAAGCAGATTGCTAATACTAGGGGGAAAAAAACAATGTATAAGCAATGGAGGTATAATACACACACAATACAGACAGTGGAAGTCCTTTTAACCCTATTAGTTTCAAACTCTCCATTTTAGTATTGGGGCCTGACAGTGAACAATAAAATACAAAAGCCATTTTTTTCAAATGGCTGAATTGAGGTAAGCATAAGCCATTAACACTACAGCATCAGAGAAGTACTTACTAGCTTCTTAACGAGCATGATTTTTGATAGGAATCTTCACAAATTAAAAAATATAAATAAAACTTTTTGTGTCTACAAATAGGTAGGTAGTGAGGAGTGATTCTTGTTATCCATGTGCAAACTGAGAAACAAAAAATGAAGCTGAAGCTTTCCTCTGAAAAAATGCTCACAAAGTTTAGGGTCAGGGAAAGTGGTATGGAAATAGTGAGAACAAAAGATAAGGCACAGGCTGTGCAAAAATCATTACACTGCTTCAATAAAGGCGGAAACATCTTCCACTTGGCTACTAATTCAAGGAATGGAAAGACTTAATGGCCATGCCTACCCTGAATCATATTGGCTATGCCATATCTATTTGTTATCTTCATTAAGAACTAGAAAGATAAAGACAGGAGTTAGGAGATTGTTATTATTTCCTTAATCTCTAAGGAAGTAAGCATAGTACTTACACATTTTACCGAATTATTACGAAAATACAACACTGTTAGGGTGATTTTAATTTAAAAAACAAAGCAAAAGAACAAAAAACAAAAAACTCTGCAGGCTGTCAGGAAGAAAAATCTATGTAGCTGGACTATACAAAGCAAGTTTTAGGGCTTTATTTATTTACTCCAGTTTTTTTTTGTTGTTGTTGTTGTTTTTGCACATAATATCTGAAGAAAGAATATTTTATCTGAAAATGCTCCACTGGCAAGAGACTTAATGTTACAAACTAAAAAAAAAATCAGGTCTACTGTAACAACTAAAAATTTGTAAAACCAGTTCTACTTTCCTATACTCAAAAAACGGATATAGAGAAAACATGCATAAATCTATCTATATGCAATGCTTGCAAAGGTTTTCATCAGTCCTAGCTTTGTTAAATATTATTTGTCTGGGACAGTGAGAATTCACAAAAGTTGTTTGATATGGAGCATAGTTAGTACTGTGATAGTGGGTTGCTAAGTATAACCACTAGATTTTTCAGTTTGAACTTACATAAATAATGATTAAAAATAGGAAAAATCACAAGCGGACTCAAGCAAGTCTACAACAGTATTCAAAATGTTTTAAAACAAATGAGCAAAGTGACTTATGACTGCATTTAACTTTTTAATTAATTAAGAGAACAACACAGAATACAACACCATGGCCACTCAATTTAAAATCAATAAAGTACTGATGAATTCAGATCAAAGCTGAAATTGAATAATAAACCAAAGTTACATTATTGACTGAATCAAAGGTGTAGAATTTGATGAACTAATTCTACATGTCCTAAAATGATGCTAAAAATTCTCTGCTAATCAGAGAGAGATTTATTTTTTTCTCTGCAGACCTCTTCTGTACCCACTGCTTTGTTATCCTACTGCAAAGTTTGAGGTGGAATGTCCAGTTATGCCCATAGAGACACAGTACAAAACATTAGCAAGATGTAAACTGTATTAACACATGCTTACACTTAGCCTGCTGTCTGACTAGTACAACAGATCATTGGTTTTAGACCTCATTTTGGGCCTAATTCAATGCTTTCTCATGTTGAACAGAAAATATCTGGATATAAACTTCACTATGTAAGCAATACAGTAGAACCTTTTCTAAGTCCAAAGTTCACCAATTATAAACAAAAAAGAATTCACTGAAATTAAAATACTTTGGGCTTATTATGCTTTTATTTTTTATTACTAGTCTAATAGCGCATTATCTGCAATTTAAATGCTAGAACAAAAGTCTAGAATGATGCAGTGATACAATGATAGAGAATGGCAAACAATGCTTCCATCTGCTTGGCTTTGAGGTGACAACAGTGCCGACGTAACAGATGCAACAAATATGTTTTGCAAATCGCTCTAGAAGAGTGCCAGCAAAATGGTTTTTACCACACTGTTAGTGACACTGCGTGTGAAATATAAATAACAGAAAGGTTTTTAGACATTCCTTTTTATAAAGCAAGGAGGCAGTTAGAAAGCAAACCACATCTTAGTCTTAACCACAGTCTTTCAAATACGTGGCTGGTTTAGTCACATAAAGTCTGACCTCCCAGGGCAGCATAAAACTGCACAAAACACAGACAAGTAAATTATTATTGCAAGGATCATCTTTCATGGTAAAACATACAAAATTAATACATTTATAACATAGACGACAGTATTTTTATTTGTATACTTATACTTAACATATAAGGACATGAGGATATTTCAGAAGTTGAGATGCTGGCAGTGACACGGCTGCACTGCTCAAGCTCAAGGCACTTTAAATCAAACACACGAGAACTGTAACTGTAACCACAGTTGAACTTACAAGTAAAGAGCATGGATCAGATGAGAAGTGATGCTAGGAACTAACAGTTAATTGAACTAAAAAAAGAAAAAAACATCTAATTATTATTATTTTTTTAAGAAGGCCAAAATACACCAAATCACAACAAATCTCTCTCAGACAGAAAAGTGCCACATACAAGATAAATGGGAAAAGGGCTGCATGGGCACT